CAGCAGCTGTGGGGGCAGGAGGAAGGGAGGCAGCAGGGACTGGGTACCGGGCAGGATCCAGCCGCCCGAGGGTCCCCAGCTCAGCCAGCCCAGGGATGCAGTAAAGAGAGGGGACGGAGGTGATCTCGCAGCCCAGAGAGAGGGGTGCCCTTCCCCCATACTAGGGCCCCGTGCCCTTCCTGCTCCCGGGCTGGGGAAGCTGGCTGCCATGGGGCTGGGTGGCTGTTGGCACGGGAGAGGTTATGAAACCCGTGCCTGCTTCCTGACCCCGGAGTTGGAGGGCCCAGGGCTCACCTTGAACCCTGCCACTGCCCCGCACTGCAGGTCCGACTCCACGTTTCCCGGGTCCAGGTAGGCGATGCTCATGAGGAAGCCGGGACCAGTGAAAGCCCAGAGTTTCCCAAAGCTGAACCCAGGCTAGGACGGGGGTACAGGTCAGAGCCAGGAGCTCCCATTCAAAACCAGTGTCTCCCAGATGCATGCCCAGTCCCCTTTAGCCCAGTGCTGCCTGCATGGGTGCATTTGGCACACGGAAGATACTTCTCCAACAGTTCTGGGGAGGGAACTGCTGCCCTCAGCCCCTATCCGTTAGCATCAGTGCTGGACAGGCAGTGAGTCCCCCCATCCCACCTGGGGACAGGTTGGACAGTGATTTGCAGGGGGGTCCCAGGGCTGTCAGGCACTGTTAATTGCATCCCATGGGATCCTGCTACTGAGCTCTGCTTTTGCTACCTCTCCTGGCAGGGGAACATCCTTCCTTCTCCTTCTCGGTTCCAGCCCCCTGGGACCAGATGGGGATGGACTGGTGGGGTGAAGGTAGCCTGGAGGGGACCCACTGGGCTCACCCATGGGTGGCCCAGGAGATGTGTGAGCAGCAGGGTGATCACCTCGCCCCATGCATGTGACAGTGAAATGTAGACATGCTCCCCACGTGTGGAAACACACAGCCTGAGGCTGTGACTTGCCTGAGCCAGGTCTGAGGATGCTGAGGGCATGTTCCTAGCGCAGGTCTGAGACACATCTCCCTGCAGTAGCCCTTTGCCTTCCCACTTCCACCTCCCTGCAGCACCAGCCCCCTGCCCCATCTGCCCACCCTCAGACAGAGGTGCTAGCCTGGCAGCACCTACCCTGCTGCCCTTGGGGATGCTGATGAGCTCATCCAGGTAGGTCTGGTCCTGGGTGCCAGGGTGCTGTGGGGGCATGGGGCACCTGCCAATGCTGTAAGTTTGCACTTGACCCCGGTTCAGGGACCTGGTGAGGCCTGGGTGGGACAAAGAAAAGGAGGAGGGGAGGTGGCAGCCGGCCAGGGGGACAAGGACACCAGGGCTGGCAGAGCTGGTACTGGCTTCATCCAGTCCCACCTGATCCTGCCTGGTGAGCCACATGAGGGACAAGCCATATTTTTCCAGGGGGGTGATGAGGGTAGCTATATAGGATCAGTCAGTAGCTACCCAAAGGGGTGGAATGTGACCTCCAGCTCAGGTGTCCCTAAAACCCTTGGTCCCAGCCCAGTCTTCACCAGTCCAAGAGCCAAGTGCATTTCTGGGCAGGAGAGACAGGAGGGGACCCTGCTCCAGGTCCTGCATGGAGTGGGGACAAAAGGCTGGTAATGGTCCTAATCCCTCACCATCCCACCCACATCCTGGCAATGTGGGTGAGTCACAGGTGGGCTTGGGGGAACCAAGAATGGGGCAGGTGGGGAATCCAGGACAGGCTGGGGAGGGAACAGTGCCCACCCACAGGCTGGGCGATGGAGCAGAGCCAAGGGTCCTGCGGTGGAGGGAAGGGGGTCTAGGGGAGGAAAGGAGGCACAAGAGACCCAAGTGCCATGAGGCTCACCTGGTTCTAGCGATGCTATAGCTGGGTCCAATCCAGACATGGTGCTGGGGGCCCTGATCTCAACACTGAGTGCAATGTCTGCCACCCAGTTTTTAAAGGACACCCCCCCCAGTTGCCCCCCCGAGAAGTGGAGGAGGAGGATGGGAGAAGGAAGTGCTCCTTCCCCACCCGCTGCCCTGGGGAGGGAAAGGAGCCCTGCCTGTTGGGGGTTGGGTGCTATGAATGTGTACAGTCTCACTTTCCCTCCCTGTGCCAGGAGTCCCCCCTCCTCCCTCCCCCTTGCCATACACATGCACGTGCAAACACAAGGCACCCACACCAGTGGCATGGGGAGCATGTCTACATGTCACTCTGTCACATGCCAGGGGTCAAGTGCCTTGGGCAGTTGAGGGGGACAGGCAACAGTGTCCTGCAGCATGGGGAGGGAGAGATGGCCCCACAAAAGTAGGGCAAATGCCATAGGAGTGGGAGCAAGGAGGAAGCAGGCATGCATTGCACAAGCAAGATGAAATGGGTCCTCAACTGCTGTGGAAAGCACCGAGCCTGGCAGGCTCTGAAGGACAGAGTGCTCACACCACCCTTGGGTGCAGGGACCTTCACTCTAAATGTAGGGTGGTCAGTGTTGTTGCAGTGCCAAGCTGCATCAACGAAGTGGGGCACCCCAATCCCAGGACCCTTGTAGCTGATGAGGTGGAAGAGGGAGCACCTCAGGTGCTCCCATGTGTGCCTGGTTAGTACCAACTGCCTCTCTGGGGTAGCCTTCTGCCAGCTGGGTGTGCCTCAGAGAGAAGTGGGCATAGGGGTCTGCCCCAGGAACATGTGGGGTGGTGGTTGGCACAGGGGATGTCAGCCTGGGGTGCCCTGCTCCAGGGTGCACCCCAGGGACTCCCCAACCCAAGCAAGGTCTAGAACAGCTGGGAGGGGGACAAGATCTCACCCAGACAGCATGGTGAGGCTGTAGCACACAACTCAGCACCACCTGCCCTCCCTGTGCCTCAGTTTTCTCAAAGCAAAGCAAATGAGACTGGACAGGCAGTGCCTGGCAGCTTTATTTCCTGTTTGCTGGAGGGTGGTCAGACAGGGAGCTGGGGAGGGGGCTGACAGCCCCAGTGGAGGTGGAGGGGATCTTGGGGGGCTGCCGGTTGGTGAAGAATTGTGCAGCGAAGGAGATGGGGTCATGGGGCTGCTGGAGGAGTAGTGCCTGGAGAAAGTCGGATAGCAGAGCCCGGACCTCTGGGTGCTGCTGGAGGTAAGCAGCGTGGGATACTTGCAGCTCCTTCTGCAGTGGGATGGGCAGGGTGGGTATGGACACCCATGTACCCCCCAGATCCTGTGCCCACTTGAGGAGGTGTGGGGGAAGATGACGCTGGCCAGCCTGCCCCCTCAATGTGCCGCCTGAGCACACCAGGGGAGACCCTGCTGGGGACTGGCACAGCCCCATGCCTCCTTGTCCCCATATCCACCCATCTCACCTTCCTGTCCAGAAACCAGGAGCACAGCTGTATGTCCTCCTCCCAGTCCAGGGGCTGTTTGGGGAAGGGGAGCTGGGGCTCAAACCCACCTGGCAGCAGAAAGGCAGGGCAGGGTGTTCCCCATTCAGCTGCCAGACAGTGGGCAGGGGCTGCCCGAGCTGGGAGGCACAAGCCTCCCTCACACAGTACCTGACTTGAAAAAGCATCAGCGTTGGGCCACCGACCTGCATCAGCCGCACCAAACGCCTGTGGGGAGAAGAGCTGGTGACTCTCCATCCTGGGTCCCTGCCAGGCTGGGAGGGCTGGGGTGCTCCTGGCCGGACCTCTGCCCTTACCCATTGGGGAGGAAGCTGCTGTGCCAGACAGTGGAGATGCCTCTGCTGGTGTTCATGACTCGCTTGATGACAAACACCTCCGTCTCTGCTGAGC